GGGTTGTTAACCAATGTCATAAAACAACATGTGTACTACTGTTTCATGAGAAACTATTTGTTCTGTAAGCCTTCACCTGAAGTACAATAAAATATTAAAAAGAAAACATTAGGAGAAAAAGATATCTTTAAAAATTACTGTATTTTATTTTCCATTAAGCATATTCCAGAAAATGATTCCTAGGAAAAAAATTAGCAGTAGGATCAAGCATTTCTAACCTTGCTCTTCTGAAAATGACATAAGGATCTTAATAAATAATAGCATTTTAATAATTCCAAGAACATTTCTATGGTACATCTCTCCATACACAGTTCAATAAAAACACATTACTGCTATGTTAAAGGTTAACAGAAACATTCATTTTTGCTTACTTCCTTATATGCAGATTCATAAATCTCAGATTCATTGCTCTCAGCCTCTTGAAGAAACTACCAAATACTGAAGTAGTAGCCCATCCTTAATTCAAGCTCTTCGAAAACTGATGGCATAAGTGTTAGAGAATCTTGATTTTTTTTTTAACTATCTGGCCCAAGAGTATTTAGATTATCCTCCTGAGAGTGAGGGTTTTTTGTTGTTGTTTTAAATTTTTATTTGAATAAGCAATCTGTGCATGATTTTAAAAATATGCAAAAGGTATAGTAGGATTATATGTCTCCCTCCCATCTCGACTCCTTTGTTCCTCTCCTTAGAGATAACCACTGTTAGCAGTTCCTTGTATGTCCTTCCTATTGGTATTATTTTCCAGAATTAAAACAGCCTTGAGAGTTTTCTTTTTTTTTTCCTGACTGTATATATATGATCATTACAAAAACAAAACAAAACAATATAGCCAAATACGAAGATGGTTAGCATCACCTAAAATCTTCTCATCCACATTTTGGTAAGGTATCTCTATGCTTATCTATACACATATCTGTATCTACAAAATGTTTCAAAACACGTTATTCTGCTATCTGATGGGTATGTGTGTATGCCTGCACATGTGCACACTTTTTCAATGTGACTGATGTACATCACCCACTGTCCCCCAAAAAGATGATACCACTTTATATGTCCACCAACAGTGCATGAGTATCCACACCCCAAACTCTTGAAAACACCTATATTTGATGAAAAGAGAGGAAACCATATCTACTTCAAATTATGACTTCAGAGTCAATGGAAGAAACCTATCTAAAATAATTATTATTTATTCAATTAATATTTATAGAACTTAACCACTAAGGCAATATGTGAAGAATATAAAGAAGATAAGAACAACTGTGCTAACTGTGCTAGATATGTTCCAGGAACTATCACAAGCTCTTTTCTTATTTAACTATCAAAACAATCCTATAAGGAAGGTACTGTTATTATCAGGAAGAGCTCGCTACCAGATCTCTGCTATGTACCATGCACTATGCTAGGCACCATACAGACATCACGTTTAATTTCATTGAGCCCTCACAAATACATCATATGAGACAAATGTTAACATTGCCATTTTATAAATAAAGACATTTTTAAGATGCTCAGAAAGGTTAAGTATATTATCCAATGTCTGGTTGGGGAGGAAGTTTACAACCTTGTAGAAATGATAAGTAATGTACACAAACAAATTATAAAATCACAGACTGGGCAGTGTTTTGTTCTGTTGTACATGGGGTCACTATGAGTCGGAACTGACTTGACGGCACCTAACAACAACTCTCTCTTTTGCCATTCCTCACCTCACTCAAACATTTACTTACCCCTGATTCTTCAGAGTTGCATGTTTTCACCATATCTTGAAGAACAGCAATCAGTTGGCATAGCAGTACTCCATTATCAAGTTCTTCTAATAATCTTTCTGCCTTAACTTCAATACCTAAAAACATACTTCAAAGTTATGATTCTTTTATGAACAGTAAATTCAAACAATATGGTAAACATTTAGTTAAACAGAATCAGATTACAGCTGAAACACTAGATGAATATCTGATCAGATTCCAAGTACTTACTCTTGGAAGGGAGGATTAAAACCAATGTCAAATTAAATGAAAGACAACTGAAACAAAAATATCTGTGATGGGGAAGTACAGAAAAACAGAGAAAATTGACATCTATTGTATCTCATTTTTATATAACCGAAGTATTTTATTTTTCAATATTCACTGTTAAGGCTCAGTTTTGATTCATGTACATCACTACTGCTTGCACAAGAGAAAGATTCTCTATAAATGATGGATTTTGTTGGAATTTAAAAATTACAGACAATAATAGAACAAACATGCAGAGAATACCAACTTTTCACCTCTAACATGCCTTTTATAGATGCATTATTCTTGCATAACGAACTTTAAAAATTGTCCAAATCATGAAACTGGTATCAGATGATTAGAGTGAGTGTGTTTAATTATTTTGGGATGGTCACAGATAGGCTTTAGGATATTCTTTTTTATGAAAAGCTTGGAATACTATGTGAAATTCTGTATTTAGAAGTGAAATTCTTCTGGGGAGAAAGTTCAAAGCACTCATCATACTCTCCAACAGAGTGAAGAACTACAGGAATGCCAAATATTCTCTAACCTGAGACCTCTCCCTAGGTTTCATACGCCTCTACCCCTCAGTGCCTCAGAGATACTAATCATTTTAACTACAGTATGTACTCCACTCAGAGTCTTATACAAGATTGAGGAAAATAATCAGTAAAATATAGATCTAAAAATTAGATTTATACACTTAAAAAATTTTTTTTTAATATTAACAGTGAAAATGGTAATTATTCAAAGTTCACTGACCTCTTCAGTTAAACCTCAAACTTTCTTACTATTCAAGCTCCAAGGTTCAGGGTAAATCAGAGCCTCTCTCCAAGCAGAATGAAAGCTTGATGAGAATAAAGACACTGAATATTTCATTCACTAGAGTATCCCAGACCTCCAGAACACTTATCCTTTGACAGAAAATAAGGCTCTCAATAAATATTGATTGAATACGAGAAAACAATTTTGGGTCTTTTTTCAAGCCTTACCTAATAAACCAGATAACCAGATTGACAGATCTTCTTGCATAGGCAACAGACTGGCTTCATGCCTCACAGCTATCCACTCATCATACTGACAAACATCAGCCAAACCTGGCCCATGTCTGGGAGTCAGAGGACTCCGTGGACTTAGAGGCAGATCTTCTCCAAACCATACCTAGAGAGAGAACATCAATCAACCTTTGTTAAAAGTCATCATAATCTATGTCTATTTTAAGTGATGAATTATAAATGGTATATAATATACACATATAAAACTACAACAGCTCACAGGAAATATATAAAGATGAATTCTAAACCATATATAATACACCGTATTTTTAGGCAAATACTGTGCACCTTCTATGTCTGTTTGGCAAATGCGCCACCTCCCTCCCTGCGAGGTATTTTTGTAAGCACACTATGCTAATTTTTTTTTACAGCAACATGTAAAACAATTGGCATAGCGGCGCTTATGAAAATACCTAGTAGGCGGAGGGCGCGGTGGGCAAACATAGAAAGCACACATTATTTGCATAAAAATATGGTACACATATAAAACTATAGTAGCTCATAGAAAATATATAAATATAAATCATTGCTGTTCTTCAAGACATGGTGAAAAATGCACAGAAAATATATACACATATAAAACTACAGGAGTTCACAGAAGCAAACTATTAGTCCAGATACTTGAGGCATTTTCAATATTCAATATTGTGGTCAATGTAAGTGAATCCTTAATTAATGAACAGATTCAACTATCAAGCCAAGTGAGTAATGGTCAGCAAATAAGAATTTTTCCTTGACTTGTTAGCTGAGTAATATTAACAAGTTACTTAACCAGAGTATCAGCATCTTAGCTGTAAAATGGGTTAATGATACCTGCCTTACAAGATACATCTTCATAGTACCTAGCATTGGGCCTAGCAAATAGCAGAGACTCAATAAATATTTGTTGAATGAATGGACAGCATTTTGTAAACTTTAAAACAGAGTGTTATCTAAAAAGAAAAGAATTTCCACTTTGGTTTATAACAGGAGTTGGCAAACTACAGCCTACAGGGCAAATCTAGTCTGCCACCTGTTTTTGTATGGTGCACAAGCAAAGAATGGTTCTCATATTTTAAAATCGTTGTTATATAAGAACCTACATAACAGTCTTGAGTTTTCCTATTGGCCCTCAAAGCCTAATGTATTTACTACCTGGCCAACCTCTGATTTAGAATAAAAATAGCAT